CTGCGTAAAATGGCAGCAAAAAATATTACAACCCACAGTACTATTCAAACACAACTGAGGCCTAATTTGCAAACCGCAACCACATCCTCGAGTGAGCCATTGTCTCCTGCAAAGCCCCCTCGTGCCAAGCTAATCCTGGTATTGAAGCTCTCGAGGTTGAGTTGCTGGCTTCGCTGAGGAAAGATATCACCAATATTTTTAAAAAAGAACTTCAGGATACTCTGGGTGATGCTTTGTCTACCATTAAGTTCGACCTGCAAGTGGTGAAGATGCAGCTGGCGATCAGTAAAGCTGCCAGTGACGCTACCATGTCCGAGCTAAAAGGTACAGTCAGGGAGATGGAGCACGCACTCACTGTGTGCTCTGCTGATATAGCTGAGATTTTTAAAAAACCCATCAAGGGCCTCACAGCTCACGTAGCCAAGCTGGAAAATAAATGTAAAGACTTGGAGTCCAGGACTATGGGCTCAAATTGTGGTCATAAATATTTTGTACTGTAAATCAGTTTTGTACTTGTAAATCAGGATTTGTATTTGTAAAAAGAATTTGTGTGTGCGTAAAAAAGATTTGTGTGTGGACTTAGCCAAAAAATATGTGTGAAACTCTGCACTCAAGTTTCAAGTTACAAGTACGAATTTTGACCCTATTTTTCTTCCTTTCATCTGATTGGCCAATGTCATGTTAATCACAAATTTAACAATCCAGTCAGAGAACAGATGGGTTTGGCTGTCGGAGGGGCGCTTTTTTGAACCGTAGGTCCTTGAAGGGTAATACAGTTTGAAGCTGGAGGATCTCTATATAAATATCCGATAGAAGCTAGGTCCCCTAACTTTCAGTAGCTGTTGAAAGGATAAAGTTGTGGTATATCAGTGGTTAGAAATACCGTTATTACTTTAGGATTAGTTTAACATAAAGTCAGGGCTGACCCGGGACCATTGCTGTGAGTCACAGTGTGCAGTGTAAAGGTCCTTTCACATCGGATGCAGCATGTGCTGCTAATGCTAACTAAAAGCCAAGGATCCAGAATTTGTTGCGCAGGCTGCTGAGCTCTGTGGGTTTTTGCAGCAGTTCTATTTGTACTAGATGCACCTGCTCCTTGTCATTTCTTTCTCTGACTTTATGTACTCTACAAGAGGTTCTGGGGTTTTTTTTGCTGGTTCTTCAAATGTTCAATAAAAACATGTATGCTAATTCATAATTCAATTCAGTGAAGACTGTCATTTCTCCAACACTGCCCATACAGGACGCGGCATAACAATGTTAGTTAGGATAGTGGGAGTACCGAAGGGCCCTGATACGTGCACCACTGCTGCCGTAGCCTCCTTGCTAAAAGAAGCATTTGATCTGGGGAAGGAGCTACTTTTGGATCGTTCCCACAGGACCCTCCAACCCACAACTAAGCCTAGCGACCGTCCACGAGTCATTGTATGCAGGCTTCATTACCACACTGACTGTGTTGACATTTTATGACGTGCTAGAGATTAAAGTTGAAGACCTGACTATCTCAGTCTTCTCCGACTAAACTTGCTGGGTGGCACGGACTCGTGCTGCATTCAACACGGACAGGCAGCGACTCCATGGCATTGAAGGTGTTCGGTATGGCCTGTTTCATCCATCACGACTTCGCATCACACATAAGGGTGTTGAGAAGGACTTTGTTTCAGCAGAGGAAGCCAGTGATTATGTCAAAACTTTGATCTATAGGTGAGCCTCAACAGCCCTTCCATTGATCCCCTCACCTCTTTCTTGCCTTTACATATTAAACTTATATAAAAGTAATTAAAAACACAACCTGAACTCAATTGCCTAATAGTGTATAGTGTGGTCAAAATGATAATGAAACAATTTCCACATAACACCGGACTTCCACGGGCCTTTGTTGTCATTGGCTAAATCTCGTTGGGTAGCCATCGCCTTTGAACAGAAGTCCTTTTATATGTATAGTGTCTGTAACTTAACCAAATTTCAAGCAGTCACCAATTCATGTTTCCTCACTGCACAGTTTTCTGCTGATCGGAGTTCTAATGGGTGTATTTTGCTGATGGTACCTAACCATAAACGCTTTTGTTTAAAAGTATAAACAACTAAATTTTATGTTATTACATTTAATTTTAACTTATCCCTTCATAAATACAGACTTTAAAAGTCTATGGGTTCAGCACTGTCATTTTACTTTATATTATAAAATATCAAATCTGAGCAATGCTAAAAAAAAACTTTTTCATGCTTTGAATTTTATTATATTTCAGTTTGGAGCTTCTGGTTTGTTTTTCTGATGCTTAAATTTTAGATTTTTACCTTTGTTACATTCAGTTTTGGATTCTTCTTTTGATACTATCTTTGAACTCTGGTACCTATTTCGTTTTTTTGTTTGCTGTGGCTATGGTGTTTTTTTTAGTTGTCTTATGTTAGTTTACTGTATTTGTTTTTTATTCAGCTTCAGTTGCTATTTTGACTTTGTTATTTCCTGTTATTTAATTCCTGTGAAACTGAGAAAGCTATTTTGGAGCACTGTGGAGAAAGATCATGCTGCATACTTTTTTTTTTTTTTTTACATATCACACTGATTAAACTTTTTCTCAAAGCAGTCATATAACACTTTATTATATTATTGACTGCACATGTACACTTGGAACCTGTGTATAACAATTTGTGTACAAAAACAAAACAAACAAAACTAAATTCCCATATCAACTTAGTAAACATAGAGAGAAAGCTGCATTCAGTAATACAAGACATCATTAATGACTAGAGACGGGCAGAAACGTGTAATCCAATTACTTTTTTCAAGTAACAAGTAAGGGATTACTATTGCAAAATAAAGTAATTGATTTATTAATCACTGTTACTTTCCCATAAACATGCTGCGTTACTGAATTACTTAACCATTATTTTGTTTGTGAAAGTGTCTCATGACAGTGACATACAAGCGTGCAACGTCTGTGGCAGCAACAGACGTGTGTAGATCAACAAGGGATAATATGGAATGCGGGAGAGAGTACGACCATGTAGCGTTAAAAGTGTGGATGTACTTACATTACTTTGATAGTTTGATTCTGTAAAAAGTGACAAAAACATTAGCGTCTGCTGTACACTCTGCATGGGAAGAAAATTTCTTTTCACGGCAAAAAATTAAACTTCAAATCTGACTGTTCAAGACTGTTGCAAATAATTGAAATTTTGCTTAATGCAATGTGCATAAAATTAAAAGATTACAACTAATAAAACAAATTTTAAAAAAGAGACTTTTCTATTTTATCCAATTTTATATAATGAATTATGCAGAAAAAAACAGAATTGGGATGAAAGGTCTATTGCTTTGTTAAGTATTTAGTATTTAACAAGTATTGTGTATCATGTTTTTAAAAAGTAACTAACTAACTAATTTTTTTTGAAAATATGTAATCAGTGATGTAACAGAATGCTTTTTTAGATAAGTAATCAGTAATGGACACTCAGTGTACCCTACTGTACAGTCTGTACACACATGACTGTGTCA